CGGGAACTTCATCTCCTTGTTCCACGTGCTGGTGACCGAGCTGGTGCTCACCGACCTGCTGGGCACCTGCCTCATCAGCCCCGTGGTGCTGGCTTCGTACGCGCGGAACCAGACCCTGGTAGCCCTGGCGCCCGAGGGCCGCGTGTGCAACTACTTCGGCTTCTCCATGACCTTCTTCAGCCTGGCCACGATGCTCATGCTCTTCGCCATGGCCCTGGAGCGCTACCTGGCCATCGGGCACCCCTACTTCTACCAGCGCCACATCAAGCGCCGCCGCGGCGTGGCCGTGCTGCCCGCCATCTACGCCGTCTCCCTGCTCTTCTGCTCTCTGCCCCTGCTGAACTACGGGCAGTACGTCCAGTACTGCCCCGGGACCTGGTGCTTCATCCGGCACGGGCGCACGGTGTACCTGCAGCTCTACGCCACGCTGCTGCTGCTCCTCATCCTCGCGGTGCTCGCCTGCAACTTCAGCGTCATGCTCAACCTCATCCGCATGCACCGCCGGGGCCGGAGAGGCCGCTGCGGACCCACCCTGGGCAGCGGCCGGGGCCCTGCCACCCGCAGGAGAGGGGAAAGGGTGTCCGTGGCGGAGGAGACCGACCATCTCATTCTCCTCGCGATTATGACCATCACCTTCGCCGTCTGCTCCTTGCCTTTCACGGTAAGTCACTCACTCCGTTTCCACAGCCCAGCTCTTGCGCAGCCTTCTCATGCTCTCCCTCTCACTCCCACTTTTCCACCGCCACGCACACTTTTGTAACATCGTAAAAATGTGCCCTGATTTGTAAAGGTCTGTAAACTTCCCCTGTTGCTTCTCACCTTTACCCCACTTCCACCCCTCCCTAATCCTGGTGCAAGGGCCTCCCTAGGCCAGGGTTTCTCAGATAGTAATACAGTCCCACTCACTAAGCCAGCCACACTCCTCATCCTCGAATCAAAGGCCCCTTACAGTGTCCCTCTCCAGCCACTGCTGGCCTGGCTTGGCCCCTGCCACCTCTGAATGGCAATTGCATCTGACTTCCCTGCGCGGCAGTGTGCCTCCTCGTGCCCCGATCCGCACACTGGTGCTAGTTGTCTATACTTTGCCTGCTGTTTCTCCCAGGACAACAGTACCCAACCCATAGCATTCCAGCCGCCATTGAGAATGGTCCCGGGTGAGAAGGGTCCCTGTTGCAGAGCTTCAGAGCAGTCATTATTTGTTCGAAGAGTTCAACAACATCCCCCCCAACCCCCACCCCCAGTGTACAGGTTTCCCAATTTACATATCGGTAGCATAACTCTTTGTGGCCATGAAAATTCACAATACGTCTGAGATGGTAGTTAGAGGAAAAGCTGGTTGCTAAGGAGCCCCTTGCTAAGCGCTGGGATCCCTCCAGAGGGGGCATTTGCACTCTCTTACAAAACATCTTCTTGACGTCACGCTCAGAAATACACACAGGTGCTCTTCAGGTTATAATTGCGCATCCCGCACAGCGCCGCAGCAGGAATGGCTGGTCCATCTCAGGGATGGGAGAGGTAGGCGTGTCTAGCACTGGCCAAGACCGGGCGGGCCAGAGCCTGTCTGGAGAACTGAAAGAAAGGAGCCTAGGTACCGGGTGGGTGCTGTCCTGGTCTGGGCAACCTCAGCAGTTCCTTCCTTGATGCTGTGAGTTTGAGCCTCCAAGGCAGCGGTTCTCAACCTGTGGGTCGCGACCCCTTTGGGGGTCGAACGACCCTTTCACAGGGGTCACCTAAATACATCCTGCATATCAGATATTTACATGACGATTCATAACAGTAGCAAAATTACAGTTATGAAGTAGCAACGAAAATAATTTTATGGTTGGGGGTCACCACAACATGAGGAACTGTGTTAAAGGGTCGCGGCATTAGGAAGGTTGAGAACCACTGCTCCAAGGTGTACAGAGCCTGGGATGTGTCTGAGCGCGGGCTGGCCTCTTACACAGGAATGAAAACTGGAAGTTCAGGCAGCTCCACTTCCTAATCTTCAGAAGAACAAGACTGACCCTGCAGGGAGTACAGAGTTGTCAGTGACTCCCACCTGCCACCATCTTGGAGGAAAAAAGAGTCGGGCCGTGCCTGCCGTTAGCTGGTCTGAACTGTAGAAGCCGAAGAAGTAACTTTATCCTACTTCCCACCGTCATCACTGTTTTTTATTATCTTCATACGCTCATCTTCAGGGGTGGGAAAGGACACAGGGTTCTAAAAGCCCGGATATGACCCTTCCCTGCCCCAAATTAACTCCCTGTCCCAGCTACATTCTCTTCTCCCTGGTCCTCACCGTCCCCACTGCTACCCCACCCTTTGTCAGGGCAGAAGCTGGTCAGTAAGGTACACTTTGAAGGGAGTGAGGTGGAGTATGTGAAATGTACCCAGTTATCAAATGAAGCAGGACTGTGGGAGGCTGCAGTTCCCATCCCACCGACAGCAGGGAAGTCTGTGCCACAGAAATGCGATGATGTAGAAACCAATGTGGCTTCTATGGGTTTGTTATGTTTTACTCATAAAACCTATAGATTATGTTAGGAGCTAAATCAGCTTTTTAGGGTTGGGAATAGGATGCAGAATAAGTATCGATGAAAGAAAGCATTTCAAGTTCCATTAAACAGCTTAGAATTCAACCTGGGAGACATAAGTCAGCTCTGAATTGGGGAATGCCTGTCTTGGATAGGTGGGCCTTAGGATATCCGTTCTTGGAATTTTATTTATTATTCGTAAGTATGTATATAAAAATATTCCTGACCCTCAGCTACTTCAGTAACCTGGGAATGGGCTCAGAGGGAATCAGAAATGTGTGAAAGGATGGTTCTTTCCTTCCCTAAGCCCGGTAGAGGAAGAGAGCAGGAGGAAAGGGTCTCCCCTCGGAGCAGGACTGACCTACTGCATAAACTATTGTTCAAAACAAAGGCAATGATTTTCAATAGTTCCCCTGTTTTTAAGTAAATTTGCCTTTTATCATGAGGACTCCATCATCGCCACATGTTTCTTTCCAAATATATGCAATTTTATATACTTGAGTATATATGAATATATATATGTCCCCCCCCCTTCATTTAATATTAAACCAGGGGCTCATCCAGAGTTGCTACATGGAAGGGGCTTGGCGCTAAAAGTCTGGTTAGAAGGAATGGGGAGTAGGAGTTTGCTTTGCAGCTGTGTTTTTATTAGGATTGCCAGTTTATGGCATGGGAGGAGCTAGTGAGGATGATTTTGTCAGTAGATTCTTGGTACTTATTAGTTCCTTCATTTACACAGCACTTTAACCCTTATGAAATGTTACACTACCCCAATTTATTTCTTGGAGGGGCTTATCTGATAATTCACAACTCATGGCTACAGTTTGGTGCATACATTCTGTTGTTTCAAAATGCTCATCATGTGCCCCGAGGGACACTTTCCCCCTTATCCTTTTAGTTTATTGGCCCACGCTGAGACTGTGGTCAGAAATGGCCTACACCAGTCTCCCACCTGGGGCAGGAATCATTTCCACACATCCTAACTAGGGACACTATTAGACAAGGCAAAGGCTTGTGGTTACCTTTGGACATTCTCGTGTTCCTCTCCCAGAGCACATGCGCTCATGAGCCACAAATGTGAGCCACATGTACAATTTAAAACTTTCTAGTAGCCACACAACAAAAAATAAAAAGAAACAGATATTCATTTTAATCAATATATTTTCTTTAACTCATTTTATACCAAGTATTATCAATTTAAAATGTAATCGAGGTAAAATAATTATTAGTGAGCTATTCCCACTAATTTGTTTCCTTGCATCCCAGAAAATACTGGCAATTTACCCTCTCTTTGCCTGTTCCTACCAGAGCAGCTTTCTATGTCCCTTATAAGTGGCCCCAGCAAGAAGGAGAATTCACAGCTGTCTGCCCACTGGGACCCCTGCTTATGTGAGCACTTTAGGAGTACGGGGAGGAGGAGAGTGGGGATTTAGGAAACCTGTAACTACTGATGTCATGGTCCCAAGGTGTGGGCAGGTCAGAATTACTGCTTCCTCCAAAGCTCTCAGTCTAGAACAGTGGTTCTCAACCTTGGCTGCACATTAGAATCACCTGGGAATCTTTTTAAAATCCTGATTTCTGGGCCTCATCCTCCGGAAATTCTGTTTCTTTGTTATGGGGTGGGGCGCCCCACTCCATAACAAAGAAACAGAATTTCCAGAGGATGAGGCCCAGAAATCAGGATTTTAAAAAGATTCCCAGGTGATTCTAATGTGCAGCCAAGGTTGAGAACCACTGGTCTAGAAATTCCAACGTTTGGGAAGTACAACTATCAAAGTGTAAAATACCCAGAGTCAAGCTCAACCTCAAAAATCATTATTATCATCAACAGAAAATGGCTAACATTTTTACGCACGAATTTTTACATACACTAACCCAATTATCTTCATAACAACCTGTAAAATAGGTACTATATTATTCCATTTCCCACCCACAGCTGGTGAGTGTTGGAGCCAGGATTCAAAGCCAGGCAGTTTAAGCACAGAGCTTATGCTTTAATCACAATACTATCAGCGAGAAATTGCTCATTTCAGGGGTACCATATGAGAAAGTTAATCCAAAATTTCGAATAGAAATTGTGAAGATGTTATAAATATCAGGACTACTTTGCCTCTTAATTCCAACTTATTAGCTTTAAAAGTAAAATGGCAAAGACCTTTTTCTCCATGTCTGATCACAGGGCGTGAGCTGGGCCAGGTGTGCGTGGTTCCTTTTTTCTTCTCCACAGACCTGCGAATTAAAAGGCTGAGACTGAGGTGTAAGGAGATTGGATAATGTAAATGCTGCTCTAAATAGGAAACATTCAGATTACCTCTCATGTAAAGTCTTCCATTGGCACAAAACATTTCTTAACTGATTTTTTTAAAAAAGGCATGTGTTGTTTAGGAAATGACATTATTTTGGTTGTTCAGTATGAAATCCTTAATGGGACCAACAACATATTCCAAAACCAAACTGTTTATGTACTAAAGGGATATTGTATAAATTAATAAATTCCTCCTTATGTTAATCAGCTGTTGTCATCATTTCAGAGACAAATAGAAACTTTCTTCATGAAATAGAACAGAATGCAGGAAATATATCAGACTCCATTCTTGCCTCACATACTGTTTGTGTCTTCATTCCCAACTACATCAAGCCACTCTCTCACTACTTTACTAATACCTGGCGTAGCTTCTGTCATTTTAAACTGTTTTCCACATGCCATTAGGATAAAGTGCTTATAGATTTTATTCAGTTCTAAAATTTCAAGAGTGAACCATCAACTCATTCTAAAAGTGTCTTCATCTTTAGAAATTCTTTAGGGCTATAATTTCCAGGTAATACTGATTTGTGGAAATCTGATCTTTGTGATACAGAACAAATTTCAAGTAAACAATACTGGAGTTTTCTGTTAATTCCTGGTACTCTTTATGACATGAATGGGGGTTATGAAACTGATCAGTTACACACATGGAAAGTATCACAATTCTAGTAGGAATGAAAGAGCAATCTAGAAGTCTCTCTGCGCAACCCCAATGAATTTTGCTTGGTGATATTTTAAGTCAATATCCATGTAACTTAATATTTGTGCATCATTAATGATGTGTTTGGGGATTGCTGAAATAGTTTTAATACACAGTACTTTCTGAGAGAAGAAAGTTTT